CACACACACACACACACACACACACACACACACACACACACATAGACAGGACGAAGGACAAACACCAGCCCAGAAACACAGTTCCATAATTAAACTGGGACCACAGCCTGTGGGCTGTAAATTATGGTCTTGGTCCATGGGTGTGTCTTGGGGGGGGAGAAAAAATGTGAAGAAACTCTCACCATGTAGTGGGTTAAAAGCTGAACAAAGCACATTTCCACTAACTCCATGATCTCAAATCATGCCGTTTGCACTCACCAAGGCTTGGACTACTGGTCGTCTTCTTGCCTCCGCGGATCTTGAAGAAACCTTTTCCAAATGACGACCGAGCCTTTCTCGAGCCAAAGGGATCGTCCTCTACGGTGGCAGGTAAGGTGGCTGAAGGATTTATGGGTGGCTTTTCACTGATGCTACCGATCTCCTCACTTGTCTTCTGAGAGTACAAAAACATTGCTTGTATACAGATTCTGTACTTCCATATACTAAATGCCAGAAAAACTAAAATGAAAGACAATTCAAATGTGAAAGGAAAAAAATGGGTAAGGCTGGAAAAAGCAGTTTGAGGTAAATTAGTGGGGGAGAAAAAAAAAGAAAAAAAATCACAATAGACAAAAATCAGTCTTCAGTTTTTAGCCAACGTCATTTCTGCCCATACCTGCTCAGTTTTGCTCCCATCCAGGTGATCCTGAGTCACAGTCTTTGTGTTCTCTTGACTGCTGAAAGCACAACGCAAATCACTTTAAACATTATACTTTACTTAGCAGTGCGAGTCTACAGGACATTATTAACCACACGTAGATACTTCCCGACACACCATCTGCAGGAAATGGACAAAACATGTGTCAGGACTACAGCAGCATCTGTCAGGTGAATGGTTTAGTCGATCCTAATATGTTATGTCTTTATACTTCTGTACTAACAAGCATGCAAACATGCATTCACAATAAAATAAATAATACTAAGGAGATGACCAATCCTTAACAATAATCACACTCCTTTCTCCTTCCTTGAATGCACAATACCATGTCTTATACTTATTAAATGCTCCATTGTGTTCATTTTGCAGTGGAGTGTGACAGGAAATTAGATGAGAACAAGCACTCAGTGACACGTCAAACACGTGGTGCAACGCCACATGGACTGCCCCGGATCATTTAAATATATACGCGCATTAAACAGCATGCTTCACTGCTCTTACCACAATTTACAGTGTAAATTTACACTTTATTTATAGCGTAAATTGCAGTGAGAGCTTCCAATACTCTGAGATTTTAATGTGAAAATATGTAATTCCTGGCAAGTTACAGCATTGTAATATAAATACAAGACACATGCAGGCAGAATGAGCACCATTTCACTGTGTTTGTCAGTGAAGAATATGAAAGAGATTCCACTAGGATTGGTGGTTTTCCATGTTTGGATTTGCTGTTTGTTTGGTTCTTTGGTGTCTAGTGTTCTCCGGTTATTTGTTTTTTAATTTGTAAATTAAAAATATTGTTAAAATAAAAACAAAGCCATGTATAACACATAAAATCTTTACCTTTCTGCATCTGCCGGTTCAGATTCTGACACTCTCTCTGGATCAGACGGGCTGGGTGAAGGCGAGGGCTCTTCACTTAGTCCACTGGGGCTTTCCATCTGAGTCGGGGTCAGAAAGACAAAAGAAGATTTAAATGCATTAAAACTGTGACTTAAAAACTCTATAGAGTCCCTGAGAACAGTCTAAATCTGCATACAGAGATCTGACAAAAGATGTTATTCAACTAATTGGTTGTCCAGCTCTTCAACACTCATTTCCAAAGGAGTGAAATTAATGTGAAGTTTTTGTGAGTGTGAGTGTTTTACTGAGCACTTTAGAGTTTAATGATATGTGAAGTCGCTCCAGGGGAGGAAAAACAGTAAAAGTAAAATTAAAAATATCTCATGTTCTCTGCTATTTAAATAGTGATACCATGGGTGCCAGTTTAGCTTAGTGGGTGAACAGGCAACCGCATGCCACATGACTGAGACGCACCGACCAAGTTTGAGACCGACCCGTGGCCCTTTGCAGCATCTCCTCTCCCTCTCCACAAACCTCATCTGGGCTTTTCCCTCTCAGTTGTTCAGCATCTGTGCCTTCTTGTTTTTCTGACTCCACAGACGGAGAGCTAGCTGGGACTGTGGCGCATCCATCACCAGAACTCTCAATGTGCTCATTATCGTTTGTCTTTGTTTCTGTAATGGACCAAAATATAAAATCAAATTATTTAACACATGATCCTGTTTACAAGATGTAGGAAGTAGGTCAAAAGTTTTCACACACAAGACTATACAAACAACAAGGGGAAAAGGCAAGCAACCCAGGGATAGATGAAGGGTCTGTGTGGCAGCTAAAGCTTAAAATGCATTATTTTAGCACATCATTAATGTCAGTTTTTAAATCCTGTGAATCAAATTTTATGTAAATTTGTCCATCCATCCATCCATTCGCGTCCGCTTATCCTGTTCAGGGTCGCGGGGGGCGCTGGAGCCTATCCCAGCTGTCATAGGGCGAGAGGCAGGGGTACACCCTGGACAGGTCGCCAGTCTGTCGCAGGGCCAACACACAGAGACAGACAACCATTCGCACTCACATTCACTCGCACATTCACACCTATGGGCAATTTGGATTAACCAATTAACCTATCCCCACTATGTAAATTTGTCAAAATACTTAAATTTTTAGATTGTAAGTCTGAGTCTAACCTTTCTTTCCCTGCACAGACATCACCATGTCTTGAACTTTCTTGTACCGCAGCAGTGACTGTTTCAGTTCTTCAATTTTACGATCCTGCAAAGGAAAAGGTAAAGAAAAAGAAAAATGAGGTCAGTTCCCCCCCCGGAGCAGCTTTGGGTAGCTGGGACGTGAGTAAATAATTAGTTCTAAGCATAGGTGTCAAACTCTGGCCCGCGGGCCAAATTTGACCCTAATACATTTGGCCCATGAAGCCATACCAAATTACTATTAGAGCTGGTTCTACTGGTATTATACATTATTTTTTAAGCTTGTGTCCATATTATTTTATCATAAGATATATATATATATATATATATATTATTATATATATTATATATCTATCTTATTATATAGTATATATATATATATATATATATATATATATATATATATATTATATATATATATATTATATATATATATAGATTTAATTATATGAAGCCATACCAAATTACTATTAGAGCTGGCCTACTGGTATTATACAGCTAATATATATATTGTTTAGTATTAAGCTTTGCTTGTTCCATATTCAGTTTTTCAGCAAAACTTGTTTGAGTCCATAAGAAAAGATTCATTCTTATATCTGGAGGAAGATTTTTTTTTTCAATAAATATTAATGTTAGCCCGCGACTTTGTTCCAGTTTTGAATTTTGGCCCACTGTGTATTTGAGTTTGACACCCCTGTCCTAGTTGGTCAGATGTACCTTTTCTTCATTTGCTGCCATCAAAGACTCCACTGCCTTCTTCATCCTCTGGACTTCCACATCTAGAGAGGGAGAAAAAGATTACTGAAAGAGTTCCTGGTGTGAAGTCTGAGGGTGTTAAAATGTGAGGATATGTAAAATTTAACATACAGGATGCAACATTACAGGCTGTCAGTCCAGCAACATCACGGCCACACTGCTTTTTAGAAACCAAACGTACACACAGTGTTGGTGTGAGCGGGTGTTTTACATGTTAACCTTTGCTCAAACATTTCCACTTTTCAACACACTGACACACACTCTGTTAGCGGTCCCTTTCAGTACTTGTGTATTTTGGCATACCTCAGCCTTTTCTACCAGTTTCCCTTCTTTCTTCACAGCCACCCTTTCACCTAGAACATTTCTGATACTCCAGAAAACAGATGGATGAACAGAACTTTTTTTGTCCTCCACTTGTTCAGTTTCCTCATTTTTCTTTTTAAGTTCACACTGCAAATTATGCTTATATCTCTTAAACTGTTATTGTTGGCAGTGAAACAAAAGGCCAAAACTTTGAAATAAATCTACTCAAGGATGACTACAAAGAAAATCCTTCTTCTGGAGTGAACCTAATAGAAAAGCTGCAGAATGACCTCAAGAAACTCATTCATACTGAAACATTTTGAGAATCTGGCTGAGCAGAAGCAGTCCTAAGGATAAACTGTCAAAAAAAACCCATGCCTGTTAAACATTACACTGGTCTGGTCTACAGCTACAAATGTTTATTCAAGGTTACTTCTACCCAAGAAAAGTTTGACTAGTTATTAAACTCGGGGGCCTCGCTTATTTTTCCTCACCTGCACTGTAAATGTTTAAAAGGTATGCTCAAGACATGAAGGTAGCTTGTGTTTTTGCTTTAGTCAATAGGATTCTTAAAATGGACACTTGTAATTTGTACTTCAATATAGAGAATCATGGAGAGTGCGTGTGCTGTGCATGAAAAATGAAACTGTTCTATACAGATGAAGGTAGAGTATAGTATATATAACTGATGGGAAAGTGGACATTTATTAAGACAGCTGTACATGAAAGATACTGAAAAGCACAACAGCAGGACAGGTTAGCAGGGTGCGCACACACGCACACACAGGTTGCTGGTGAAGAGAGGTAGGTGATTAACGTTGGAAGACATGAGTCAGAAGGTGGAGTAAGCAGTCTGAATGGTCACAACAAACAGTTCATTCTTCATTCCTGCTAAAAACACAAGGCAAACTGTTCTCGTTGCTGTTGTAGCCGGGCATTAAAAATCAGTGACAAGATTCGTGCCATTAAAAAAAAAAAAAAAGTTGAGATGTGGCGCGCTGTGGTCGGGTACTAGCACTGGAACTGGTTATAATGGACAAGCAGAGTTCAGATGGCTCATGCTCGTTCATGCAAACAGGGGTGGAGGTGAGTGCAATAATAAAATCACAGACATAAAAACCCCCCTTACGTTTTTCTTTCAGCCTCTTTCTAAGAGTTTCATCTGGATGAGAGACTAAACAGGACAAGAAATTATAAAGTAAAAACTTGCTCCAAATAAACATCAGGAATGCTGATCTTCAGCGAGGCGTGTGATCTGTCTGGTTTCCCCACCTCTGTCTGTGGGCTCTGCACCGTTCAAGCCGATGGCCTTGAAGCCCGTCTCGTCCTGCAGTCTCCTCATCTCTCCGTCTTTGCCCTCCAGCTGCCGCCTCAGTATGGCTAGCTCCTCCTGTTCACCAGGGGACAACAGTGAGAAGATTTTACCACCTCCCCCACTCCCAGTCCAAACAAACCACAATACAGGGGTTCACAGAGGATGACATGGCACACAGGCTGCAGGAGGGTAACGAGTATGAGGAGGGTGATAAGCACTGATCTCTGGAAGTGTTTGGATAATATTAAATATGCAAGCCATTTCCAAAAAGAAAACACCAACATGTTTAAATGACCAAAGCAGGAGTCAAGCACAGAGATATATCTTGTACATGTTATAATAGAGTGGATTAAAAAAAAAAAGGAAATGAGTGGGAAAATTGTAGAGAGGGACAGGAAAGAAGAACTCTGCCAACTCAACAAAAGCCCAGAATTAAAGCATACTTGTGGTTTAAAAATTAGCATTTGCTAAAATTGGTGCCTAGTAAATGCAGACTTAAGGAAGTGGTGTTTCTGATTGCACTTGACTTAACCATGCATTATAGCAAAATGCAGTGATGCGTGGTTAAGTAAATTATTTGCAAAAATACATACATTTTTGAGCGTGAAAACAGAATCTAACCAGATTTAATCGTTTTATGCCTCAAAAATTAAAAAGCAGAAGAAGAAGAAGAAGAAGAGGTGCCAAAGGGAGAGGTCAAAAAACCATAATCATACAGCAAGCACAACAGTCATCCTGGGAAAAGCAGACCTTCATCGCCTGGAGTTTGTGCTCTTTCCTCTGTTTCTCATACTGCATCTGGCCCATTTTGATTTTCAGGCTAGAAAGCTTGGCCATTAGTGACTAGCAGTAAAGAGACAAGCCACGGAAAGAAGAAGAAAACAGAAATGGGAAGGAGAGAAGATAAAAAGAGATCAAGAAATGTTGAATATCTAAATTTCCAGGAAAATGACCACTAAAGCAGATTAAAAGTAGGCACCGCAACAAACAACAAAACCCCCAAACAACACGCAGTTACTACATGCAGTTCAAGAAGCATAAGATAGAAAACATCCAAAGCAATCATCTGGAAAATTCTAGTAAGCAGAGTCACTCCTTCACCTTTTCTAACTTCAGCATATAAAAGGGTGGTGGCAGTCTGATAGTCAGCTGGCCTTCACCTAGTTTAGTTTAGCTTTTTGTGTTCTTGGTTAACTTCTCTTTTCAAACTGTAAAACAAACAATTTTCTTGTCTGTGTTGTAACAATTAAGGGTTCATTTGATATTTGAACTTGTTTCATTTTGCAACCAAAACCTAAATTCACAGCATTCAAACAGCTACGAGAATCTCTGAATGAGAAAGAAAAAAATCCTAAAAAACATGAAGAAATCTCAGATGTTGTTAATGGAATTGGATTAAGAAGCAAAAGGGTGACAAACTCTTTGTGACCAGGAGAGAGGGGGAAAAAAAACAAACAAACAAAAATCCCCAAAAAAAACATGGTGGTTAGTAACCCCCCAGCCTCTGACTGACCACCTTCAAAGCAATTGCATCAGTTACCTGGCAGAAGGCAACTATACTCCAAATAACTGCAGTCCTTCTCAGACAATTTGGTAAAGGTTTGTCAATATGTCATCTAATTCATAACACCCCATTACACTGCAATCAGAGTCACTGTTCCAGTGAGTGCAAATCATCTACGATGAGCCTTTTTGCAATAGAGGACTCAAGTCAATGGTTGCATTGTGGTTATATCCCACATAAAAAGGAAGGCTGCTGACCACCAATGTCATTTTGAAGAAGCTGAATCACCATCCTGCAGCAGTGTGGCACCATTTGTGGAGGAACTATGAAATTTCTGTTTCAAATTTATGATGTTCTGGCTGGACCCTGAATATAAATACATTTTTTGATGTAAAATTCTGTGTACGTAGACAGCAACAGATTGGCAACATATGTCAACAGATTTGCAATTTTTGCAGATTAATCACAAACACATTGCAAGTACAAAACAATTCCAAAAAGTCAGAACTCCTATGGACTTTCTGTCCATAGGAGGTGTAGAAGTGGCAGAAGCTTTTCGCTTCAGTGGTCTCAGAATCTCCTCTCTGCTTTTCAAAGATGATGTGATTAAGCTGGCTTTATCAGATGATGGCCTCCAGCTCACACTAGAGCAGTTTGGAGCAGAGTGTGAAGCAGTGGGAATGAGAATCAGCACTTCCAAATCTGAGGCCATGGTCCTCAGGCGGAAAAGGGTGGAATGCCCACTCCGGGTCAGGGATGAAGTCCTGCCCCAAAGGGGGAGTTTAAGTATCTCGGGGTCTTGTTCACGAGGAAGGAGAGAATTGAGTGGGAGATCGACAGATAGATTGGTGCTCTGGGTGCAGTGACACGGATGCTGTGCGGGTCCATCGTGGTGAAGAGAGAGCTGAGCATGAATGTAAAGCTCTCAATTTACCTATGGTCACAAGCTTTGGGTAGTGACTGAAAGAACGAGATCGCAGATACAAGGGGCAGAAAAATTCGCTTTTACTGAGTGGCTGGCCTCTTCTTAGAGATAAGGTGAGGAGTTCAGCCATCCGGGAGACACTTAGATTAGAGCCGCTGCTCCTCCATGTTGAAAGGAGCCAGTTGAGGTGGCTTGGGCATCTTACTAGGATCTCTCCTGGGCGCCTCCTGGGTGAGCCATCCGCCACCTGGAGGAGGTCCCAGGGCAGATGCAGGACATGCTGGAGACATATCTCTCAGCTGGCCTGGCAACACCTTGGTATTTCCCTGAAAAGGCTGGAGGAGTTAGCCAGGGAGAGGGAGGTCTGGGCTTCTCTGCTTAGGCTGCTGCTCCAATAGTGTAACAGAGCCCCGGATAAACGAAAGAAAACATATAGATGGATGAATAGATTGCATTCAGTTTCCCCCCTCCCCTTCAGATTTTACACAGCATCTGAACTTTTTAGGAATTAGGGTTGTAAATGCCAACTCAACCCCATTTCAATTTAAAACCGACACTGTATTATCACCATTTTGATCCATCAAAGCCGCTCTGCAAATGCCAACTGACTGTGACTGATTACAGTCCTCGTCCACATCTGCAAAGGAACCATTTCCAAGGCAACAAGATCCCAAGCTCATTGCATAGTTGCAAAAATTCTGGCTGTGCTGTGGTCTCAAACCACTGTTTTCCCTACTGTGACTACAGCATAATACTATACAAATAGCAGCTGAAATGGTTGCATGAATAACTTTATCCAGGTAACAAGAGATGTACAGATATTATATATTTTTTAAAGGGCATAAAAGAACAAAAGAACAGCTGTTAAGTATTGACTTTAAACAGAATGGTGGATTTTGGCTGTTTAAAAAAGGGTAAAACTAGTCTTTAAGATACATAAACAGCCAGTAAAGTGCTCTGGGATGACTCACCTTAGTGGATTTAAGTTTCTTTTCATACTGTAGTTTTTCAGTCTCCAGTTCAGTCAGTCTGTACCGCAGCTCATTAATTTCAAGAATCAAATCCTGACAAGAAAAAAAAAAGAAGAACAGGTCACACCTTAAATACTGAAGGATAATTTTTGTCCTCTAGATAAAATTTTAACTCTAAGATTCCAAAATGAAATTTAAGTGAATAATTTTAACATCTTATTAACTGCTCCCATCTTGCAAATGTGACTTGTATCAGCACAAAGTTCTATAAAGTGACTACAAATGCATTTGAAAGCAGCAAATCAGTGCTTCCAAGCAGCAGCAGTGATAAAATGAGAGGAAGCTGCTTGTAGAAAAGAAGTGATTTATGTGCTGTGAGGCGGAACACGGACAGCAGCTTTTTGTTCCAGCGGGGTGGAAGAGATGGCCGCGCTGCTACAACAAGACCATGACGTGTTTGAAAGCTTTCCAGACATTCTGCTCAGTCTATCTGGGAAGCAGAGATCTTCCCATCTCTAGTAAACAAATGACTGACAACATCTTTATAAAAATCTTGTCTAATAAAGTAACAAAAAAAAATCCAATTAATATTACAATAATGTGGGTATACCGTCAATGGCTAGTTTAGCAAACACTAACAACAAGAAATAAAAATGACTTTGAGACTGATAATAAGACGGGATCCTCTCTCCCCCAGGTTTAAGACAAAATAAATGAGTGTTTCATTATTGTTGAGCCTGTGTGTGTCTGTGTGTGTGTGTGTCTGTGTGCGTTAAGTGAGATAGAAAAGAAACATTCAGAAACAAAGAGGATTAGTTCACCTCACTGTCCCTAAATCCGTCATCAAAGTCAAGCCTCTCGTTTTTCATACTGTTGAGTTTCAGCTTAAGGTTGGACACTTCAGACATAAGCTCAAGCTTCTGAGTCTCCAGAGCAGTTCTACACAGAAGCTCCTGTAATAGCAAACAAACAATCTGTGTAAACAACACTGGTAGTACAGGCATTATTGTGTAAAAGTGGAGACACAAAAAAGTCATCTGCAAAACCTCAATGATTAACAGTTTTAACAAGAAGCCCCTGTTACACCCACTTATAAACTTAGCACAGCAGTGCACACAGTAGATGTTTACTTGACAGGAGGGCGTGAACTCAGCTCTTCCAGTTGAGAGTCAGTACCACCCAAACACATCTGCACCATATGTCCATTTGCAACTTTCACTACTGGGGGGCTTTGGTTTGGGAATAGCCTTCCCGTCCTCAGAGTGTAAGACAAACACACACAGACCTGTTGCAGCATCTCCTCTGTGGCGTTGAGCTTCTCCCTGTGCTCATCCAAACACAAGTCCAGATCACGAATCTTCTCCCCCTGAGCCTCAACCTGGTCTGTCAGTACACTCACCTGCATGAACACAAGGTAACACATTTTAGAAAGGACAGCAAAGCCTGATATTAAACAAACCAAGGGCCAAGTTATTAAAGAACATGATGAGCCAAAGTTATCCGTTCCACTCTTTGTACTATTATAGATTTTTAAGAGTTTTAAGTCAGAAGAGAAATCTCTCTTAGTGCGTCAGGGGTGGCGGCAGCTGTAGAATCATGCAATCAACATATACAGATACCCTGCTCCTAAAAACATTGAGGGCGAGAACTAAACAAATCTGATCACAGTTCAAGTGCAATAAAACTTTTGCATGTGGGGCACAAACACAAGCAAGCTTTGAAACCTCCAGTTAGGTTTTACAATGTTTCAGTTCCTTTCCAGATCCTGGAGAGTCCACCCGTAGCTGGATAAATTATACAAACACTGACTAATAATTACATTAGTAACCATTTGCCACCCCAGGGAAATTCATTAAAAATCAACAAACAAAAATGAATTCAATAATAAAACATTATGTGAACTATTATTCAGAAATTCACAGTTTCTTGAAGTTTTCAGAGCTGCAGCAGATTTATTGAATTTGTTAAGGACGTCAGGCTGTGCTCCATTTTCACCTTTTAACTCTGTGTTGGTTTAAGTATTTTCTTAAGTAAAACAATATTTATCAGTAAGTGTTTTTTGTGTGTCAAACCCCTGACCTAATTTTTAGAGCTTCAAGCATTCTTTCAATGCTTGATGTTGCTAGGTTACAAAAATGATTTCTCCCCTGCCATTGTTTACAGTGTTGATAACACAAGTCCTGCCCCTTCTTGTTTTTGACTGGTCGATGAGAGGGAGAAGTAACATTGATGTTACAGGAGTTTTACAGAAAATAGACGGTGGAGGAGATGGTAAAATTATGGAATTACTGCTAGGCAGGTACCTGAAGCACAAGAGACTCCTTATCACTCTCTAGTCGTGAAAGCCTCTCCTGGTAATGGTCACCTCCACCCAATGAAATGTGTCCGTTAGACTGGGGAGAGAAAAATAAATTATTAGAAGAACTCTACTGAGCCATTTGCAAGGGTATGATAATGTATTCCTACGCTTTAAAGACAAAACCTCAAGTCTTTGATGTCTACTAATGTTCTCAGCTGAAATTCTTCACATCAAAGTGCCTGAGCAGCTACACCACTTCACCCAGCACAAATAAAACCTTACATGGTTGAAATGGAGAGCTCACATTCAGACTGCTGTACACAGAGTGGGTTACAGCATTACACAAAAACTCTCACTGGCCTGCAGCCAGTCACTGCTCTGATTCCCAAGAAGTCTGTGCGTTTCTTGCTGCATGCACATCAACTGTGACACCAACACAGCTAATCCATCTTGGATTCCATGGGAACTCAGCAGAACAGGACAATTGTTCTGCGTTTTTTCGCTTAGCAAACAAGCCATCTGTGGACTTGGATACAAGACTGTTTGGCCACACTGTTCTGTATTAATACAGCTTTAATTTGGCACACGCAACAATCAGAATCAAACCAGCTGTGCTACAGTTTGTTTGAAGGACTTCATGCCCAGCCATCACAGGAGAAACTCCTTCCATGATTTTTTTTTATTATTAGTCCTTTATTTATCCAAGTAAAAAAATCTCATTGAGATTAAAAATCTCATTTCCAAGCGAGACCTGGCAAGATTACACAACTTGCACTGATTTCAAAAACAGAAAATGCAACACAAGCGCTACAACGGTTTACCCTGAGGCTACACTTTTCTGGATGGCAGAAGAGCAAAAAGTGGTCTGTTTGCTTCAATTTCTAAAGACCTGCTAATAAACTTTATCTCTTTCCATGAATCCAACTGATATTTCTAACATCCACAAGTAAGGGTCTTACCATGTGACCGTGGAGCCACTCAACAAGGCTGTCAGCTGTGGAGTCGGGGATCTGGCATCGTAGACTCTCCCTTTCCTCAGAGTCCATCAACTCTAGGACACTTCTTAGGTCTTCCAAAAGGTGAAGCGCTCGCAAACTACCCATAAAAGGTGACGTAGGCGACTGGCAGTCAAACAAACCATTGGAGTAGTCTATAGCTTTGGAACCTGAGACAAAAGAATCACAACAGGAATAAATATGAGGATATAATTAGTCCAGAGACAGACTGCAGTGTCATCTTATGCTGCATGTGATGTTTGTTGACAAGCTTTAGTGAGTAAAAGTTCTCATCTGCTAGATTACAGAGGACATCAATCATTTTGTGGCTCAGGCACTAACAGTAATTGAAGAGCACAATATAATTTTCCAAAATGTTGGGATGCTGTGTAAAATGTAATCACATTATTTAAAGCCAACACTGAATACACAATTTATAAAAAATGCTGAAACTGAATAACTGTCAAAGTGTATGTTTAAAAAAAAAAAAAAGTTATTTCATAAAGGTTGGAACAGGCATGTTTACCACTGTGTTGCATTACCTCTTTTTCTAGCAACATTTTAAGCCTTCTGATGAGGACAAAAGGCTGGCAAAGTCACAAATGTTCCATCCTTACAACAGGTTGGGCTCTCTTTGACAGATTTTCTGGACCCTCCTTATAGACCTTTGCTACTTTAATTAAAGTAGAATCTGGTTTGGCATAATCTTGCTAACATAATCAAAGATCTTAAAGACATTGTCTGGATGGCAGAATACATTACAATTAAGCTGCAGCATCAATAGCACCTTTACAGAATTGCATGTTACCCATGTCACAAGCACTAATACACCCCATCACATCAATACTGATTGATCAGACTAAAGAACTTTTTTTCTCTCTCGACTTTTCACCAGTTCATGTCAAATGATGTCATGCCAAGTCATTTGTGTTAAATTAGTGATAACATGAATGCCTTCCTGAGATTTGTTTTTATTCAGAATTTAGACAGTGACACCACCTTTTGGAAATACAGTTGTGCACACTATAGGTATCACATTTCTAAAAATTATAACACCGCACTATCTGGGCATAGACCCACTGCGGGGGGAAGGGATATGGAGAGAAATGTAATGCATATAGGTGACTGGATGAGATTTATATAGGTAAAAAAAAATAAATAAATAAAAAAGGACCCCCCCCCCCAAAAAAAAAAGAAAAAAAAGTTTAATGATGCTATCAGATTGACCTTTTTCACTTGGATTCTTTTATTGTTAAAGACTGACAAATACATGGGGTGGGGCATTAACTTTTCCCAGCTTTTAAAAGGGGTAGAAAAAGTTTAAGAACCACTGGTTTAGAGTTACACAGAAGTGCAAAGAATAAAGGCTAGATAGAGCACAAGATATCACATGACAGCTTGAATGTCAGCTGTGCAACAAGCCATAACAAGACACCAGATAAGGGCTTATCAATGTTGACTCAACCTGGAAGACCCGCAGAGACTTTTGTTGCTTTAGGCTTTCACGAGTACTAAAAGTCATGGTAAAATATTGCGCTGATGCTTTTTAATGGGAGAGGTTTACCTGCTATAATTCCATCCATCTGCTCAAGAGCAGCAGCCAACATGTCGCTGGCATCAGACATCATCTTCAGTCACTGACAAACCTATAAAGACCAATAAAACCAGTTTAAACGGTTAGCCCCAAAACACAGTAAATGTTTTAAAACTATTTTTTAAACTACAGTTCAGTTCACATTTCAACTTACAGGTTACAGATTTTTTTTATTTTTTCAAACATGCCTGCTCATGAACATAAAAGAAACTGTTATTGTTATGCATTTCCAGTTCACTGTTGAACAGGATGATTTTTTAATGTTACAGCTTTAACCAGGCATACATTTTTAAAAACTTGTTTAAGCCACAAAAAACAAAACAAAACAAAATAAAATTTCCTGATTAGCAGAGGCAAATCAAAATTGTGAGATACCCAGTTGGGATAATGATTACAAATTGTGACTTATGGATGGCAGCAAAGTGGCAGAAACTTAGCGCACTGTGGTGCTGGAAGATAAAAATTGTGTTTTGCTAAGAATTTTGATCTGATGTTATGCATATTTTGATATGCCAGTTGTTTCTGTCACAGCTAACCACATTCATTTTTCACAACTTAAAAAAAAAAAAAAATGAATTTTTTTTTTTTTTTCTTTTCTTTAAACTGCAGCCAAATCACTTTTACACATGTGTTGTGTTATGAGGAGGCGGCTAAATCTGATAACACACTGCCTGCTTGGATCAAGGCCTTCTCTGGTTTTTTTTAAGAAGTAATTTTGTGTATCATTAAACATTAATTCAGCTGCAATACTGTTGGGTTTCTTTGAGCCATGAGTTTCGAGTCTTTAACAGCTGGTAAAACAACATAATTCTGAGTAGGGTTTAACTGTATAAAAATAAGTCAGTTTTTGCATGGTTATATGATAGCAAGGCATCTCTGGCAGCTTAAAAAAAAACAAACAAACAAAAAACAAACAAAATCAGGTGATTTGTTGAGTTTCTTTAACTTCCTGTTGTTTAACTCTGTGCTGAAGAGTTCTCATGTATATTTTCTAAAACTAATGAATGCCACACATAATATTAAATTAAACCAATATCTAAAACACTGGTGTTCTGAATGTCCTATCAAGAGGACAGTGGGAACTTTGTTTGGATTGAAATAAAGATGCATTTTCGTGTCCCAGTCTTGGAGATTTGCCCAAATAACACAGCAGTCCCTTTCTCCTCTGATGTTCGAAAGACCCTGCTGTATATTTGTACATGTTTAAGCATGCAAATAGAGATGTTCATGTGCACACAAACATCCACTGACACCTCTTCCTTTACTCAGCTACCTTCAATCCTGGGAGTGCCCAGCACTGGGACGTTCCACCAGTTTCAGACTTTATGGAAACCACCCACAGACTGAGCACTGTTATTTAAGCATTTCTGTGGTCACAGTTTCCATTATGTGTAAAAGAAGCATGTACTAAAACACAAGACTCGACACAACACACAGCAGACTGAGAGGAGATGAGCACCCAGCATGCCACTGGTCCACAGTAAAGTGCTGGGTGGTTTCCAACAGTAAAATCCTGAATGTGTGTAAAAATGCTTCTCTCAGTAACAACAGTAGCTGCTTACTACACATTTTGCAAAAGACCTGACATTTAGAAAAGGCAGGACAGAATTCGAGCATTTTACAATGTTTCCTTGGAAGGACGAGGGCTGGTATACAAATATTTCTGCACATATATCCATAAATATTTCATGCCTGTGTGTGTAGACACTCCTAAAAAGCAATTGCAACCCCTTTAGGAACCCTGCAAGGGATGACCTTTGAATGGTTGTCAGCTAAAATCTAAACTAAACTGACTAATTGATTAATTATACAAATCATGCTAGTTTATATAAGAATTTGGTTTGCTAATAAGCAGCACAAATTCAAAAGTCAATATAATTTAGAAGCTATAACTAAGAAACAGTTGCCATAATATCAGCTACAGTAGTGTGCAGGGGTACTAATGTACATTTTTTACATTTTTATTTTAATTACACTCTCTCGTTAACACAATTATAACATCAGAGCCATCTTTGGATCCTTGGTTAACATCCTTGCAAGCTTTGTTTCGGCTGCTGTTCATAGCAGTGCATGGTTAAGCTGCTCAATTAACACTTTGACAAAGTTGGATTTCACTCACTTTGCTTTTGCAGGCAGAAAAGCAGTTTAGAAATTAATAAATTAGAACAGCTTTTCAATATTTTAGTCATTAAAAACAGAAAAGTAAAATCTCAGATGTTTAGAGTCTGCTGATAATGTGAATGCTGTTAGCATCATGATGTGAAACCGGAAACAATGGGACAACATCTGCCCATATCTACTACCAGTGCAGAGTGCTCCCTTAACAGTTTCTGACGCTTGAATCCTCATCTCAGGGATATGATAACCAACAAAGGACTGAGTAGACTGATGAACATCTATCATTCAGCTGATGCCAGTTTACAAAGAGTTCTGCAAAGAGCCAATAAAAATTACCTGCAAACTGGTGGTAAAAAAATGAATTAAAATTTTTTAAAAAAAAATAAAGTTATTGTCTAATCTGACTGTTTGTGTACTGCATGTACTGCAACAGCTTGGCTCGCTCTTTGAGCTTGTTTTTATGAAGTTATCTGGGCTAAAGCAAATATAGATGAAATTATTTTATGATACGGAAATGTTTACCTGGCTGCTGGTCTGCTGTTTGATTCCAGGCTCATTACAGTTTTATGAGCATGTGTGCTATTGGTGAGGTTTGTGCAACTTGAGAAAAGAAAAAGGACATCCTGCCAGCACTGCTTGAAATGCATAAACTACAAACAGATTGAGGGAAGGCTTTTATTGTGGCGATATCTCAGCATTTCACAGCAGCCAGCACAGAGTTTGGATCATGATGAGACAAAACTAGAATCCAGACCTGCAGGGCATCCCCTTCAAAAGCCTGAGTCAGCTTTTCTATCACAGCAGAAAAGCAAATATGGGTTAGCACATGGCCTTTAGCAAACATACTTCAAACAGCAGCTCAAGACCAGACATGCTGCTCTGAAACCTGCTAATAAGTGCAAACAGCCTTCTGAGCACTTCCACAGCTTCATCCTGGATGTAGGATGGACACAGCAAAAAGAATTCCTAATTACAGGGACATGCACTCTTTCCTCAAGTCCCAGGAAGCCTCCATGTTGCTTTAGTTATGTGTAAACATAAGATGGTTGTCTAGAAAGCAGCCAAGGTAACAGTCTGTCCCATTTTTTTTTAAAGCTCTGGGACAAGTGATTGTTTTGAATTACAAAATAAGTGTTCATTAAATGTCATAATTTTCCACATTTGAAAGAGACAGGTACATAATATATATGACAAACTGTAACAAAGCCTTATAAATCTAGATTTATAAGGCACTTTTCCTTTATGATGCATGTTAAGCATCTGTCCAAGACTGCCATCAAAGGAGACATCTCAAAATTCCCAATGAGCAAGCATCGCTCTCAAACAGAGTCCCTCTGTCTGCCTGTCTATAAGCACCACTTACACCAGCCATAAGACAAAACAGAGAGCTCTATTGTTCATCATAGTGGTTTGTTTTGACTGAGCTGCATAAGCACACAAAGGCTGGGAGGGAGGGGGAAAAAAACGGCATTGCAATGCTACAGTTGACACCTGCCTGCATACTCTTTTCAGACTAAAAAGAGCCTCAAAAGTAAACTGAAAGAACATGCAAAAGCAGCTTTGCCCCTTGGTGAAATCAGCCATGTAATTCACAGAGACATGCAGAGAACAATGAATACAGGAGGGAGAGTGGACCACTATAATTGCTTTTCAAATCCTGCAGCTCAGGTCCCTTTAGGCAACATAAACCTACTTCACTGGGTGCTCCCCTAAGAGCTCCAGTACTCGTGGTATAGAAAGAAAATAAAGAATATCTTAATTACTGAGTTACACGTGACCAGCACATGCAGCAGCAGCACACAACAAAACAGAAGCCTCTGGCTCATTTTCTTTCACAGATAGTTGCATGTGCCTGTAAAAACTGATAGCAGTCATGTTAGAAAAGACTAGAAAAGACAAACCAGGCCAAAAATCACACCACAGTTTGTTTTACTTAGTCTGTTTTTATCCAAGTTACGTGGCAATTTCCGTGGACATGACAGCGTAGGCCCACATAATAACACTTTATATGTTTTGACTCATGCAGGCCTTGACTCATTCTTCACCTTTACACAGTTTTTCTATGACAAAAGCCAAACTCCTTTTCTACCACAGACAGAAAATAGTATATTTAGCACAAAATAAGGAATCAACTCACTGCTTTTAATTTAGAAATCAGAAGAGTATCTAAGATATTTATCATACACAAGAGGCAAAAAAAAATTCCCAATGTTTTTCCTGAATAAAAGTGGTCTTTTATTGAGGTTGCTTTACTTAGCCATAGGCAGTAAACTCCTGTGCCTGTGGGATTTGGTGTATGTGTGGACACGTTTAGAGTATGCATCAGCTACCTGCAGGAATAACCTGCAGCTATTTCCAACATGGCTGAATACCTGGATGCCTCTCTTTACTTTTATACCTCCCGGCAAGAGGTTTGAAAAGTGGACAGGGAATTTTCCTCCATCTTTAGACTGGCTGGAAATAAAATCATGAAAAACCTTAATGGTATTCAAGCAATTAGTGATGTAGCAATGTAAACACAGCTTCCAAAAGGTGGAAATGTAGTTTTTAAGATAAAGTGTTTCATGTGAGAAGGGCTTCCAAGAGCTTTTCCTGCCTGCATGTATGTGCACAGTCGTGGCAGAAGTTCATTTGTGTTGGATGGAATCACACATTCTTTTCATATTACTCACAAATGCACAACTTGTGTCTTAACTTGACTAAGAAGTCCTTCATCTTCATGCACATGCAATGAAATGCAACACTGAATAATATACATGCCATACAGAAGATTGGTTATGCTGCTGCGAACAACAGTAGGCTTGTTTTTTGGGGAATTTTCCTTAATATAAACTCCTTGCATTTCCTTTTTTGGCTGCAATGCGGTGAAGACAGGAAGATGCTGAAAAGTGACCCCTGGGAGTGTGTGAATAACAAAGAGCGAAGACCTAAACTGCTTTCAATTAGCATTAAAAAGGGGATTAAGTTAGTAAATCAATGAATTCAAGGAAAAGCACCCAAAATTACTGTTGGCAACATCTGGTTTCCAGACAAGTGTGCTGCTTTCAAGAGCTTTTTTAAAGAAACAAAAAGGCCAAACTTTAACACAACAACTGATTAAGTTTTACGTCTCTTAGAGGAACTCCAGAAAGTCTACTTCACATTCGGGGGCAGTTCACGATCACTACTAAAGATAAATCCCACTAATTCAGCACCTAGGGCAAGGCAAATGAAGCCAAATGAATGTTACTTTAGAAACAGATAAAAAACACAGAGGGGGAAAGAGGGTAAGAGCAGCCTCAGGCGATGGAAAACAATGGCACAGTGCAGAGATTAGATATGTGGCAGGTCATAAACAGACTTCTTCCAGTTAGCTTCTGTTACATATTTAACGTAAAGCTGAAACATTAACGTTTTGTCTACAGTCGGGTATTTAGGACACTTTGCGTCATTCGTTTCTTACAGTGTTAACGAGTCAGATTTCACTAACCAGACAAAACCTAACAGCTCGGGGACCTGCTGGTTATAAAAAGTTAGAAAAGTGACCATAAAACGGTAGCTTTGTGAGACATGCGCGCGCATCTGCGCGAGCCTCAACGGCGGCAGCTTGTTCGGACTAAACGGTAACTTTAGCAGACTACAACAATAAATCACAGCTGTAGCCTCAAGAAGGACGCGTACCCAAACTCTTCTCGAAGAATTTCAGCGCTTCCGTAGTTTCGTCTTCTCGTTCTTTCTGAGAAAAATCCACAAAAGTTGTGTTCTGAACTTCTCCGTGCCCACCAGTACGACCCTGCCGTCCGTGAACATCGCTACGCCATGATGTCGAAGTGACAGGGTCGCTGAAAAACTTTGCATGTCATGGCTGAAAAATCCCACCCCACCCCTTCCAGGCTTGGATTGGCCTGGAATTTAAATGGGAGTCCTGGTGCGTTCACTGTAACGTGCCTAACATAGGAGCTGTGAGTTTTCTGCGGGAGATTCAGTCATCTCCGGTACGGGAAATGATTCAGAGAAACCAGAAACTGTTTGGAAAAAACAAAACAAACATTTTTATTGTCATCTTGATGTAGGAATAGTCACAACCAACAGCAGCTTTCACACACAGCGGTCCGTCGAGCTAAGTAACGCAAAAGTGAAATTTCCCATGTTTTCCTGGATCGGGGAAGAGACGTATTCCTTAAATTCTTGGAAGCCTTACTTTTGTGGCTAGTGAGCTTTAAAGAAGTACAGGCGACACCAAGTGGTGTAAACGCGTCAGTGACGAAAAATAAATAAATAAATACATAAATAAAATAGAATAAAATAAAATAATAATAGCATGATTCTCCGAGCGTAAATTTTAAGAAATAGATGTGTAAAAATTACATTTTTTAAAAATCACATTGGTCATTTACTGTCCTGTAATTTCAAAAATACATGTTTAAAATAATGGTTTTTTTCCACAGAAAACGTTTTAACACTATATATCTACTGTAAATATAAATAAATAAATAATGTAGTAGTGAAAAAATAGTAACTTTTCTTTAATTTTTGTTAGTCTATTACCCAATTACTTTGATGTAGCATGAATACCCATTGGTGAGGCCTCATTAGTGGAGATGTCTTCTTTCTGTTTTGTTTTTGTGCATAACCTCTGTGTCTGGGCACTCCTCTGGATATTCTTACACCAGAGAAGAGCTTCTTAACTTTGATCACCACCTGCACTCATGTATATATCTATCTACTTAGCACTTTTAATTCTTATTCTTATTTTTATATCTATTTTAAGCGTTTATGACAGTATGTTTGCACTAAGCACCGCAGCAATTTCCTAATGTTGTAAACCTGCTCAACATTTGGCAATAAAACCCTTTCTGATTCTGATTCTGATAATGTTATTAGGGTCCATTACTTTGTGCAAGTTAATCTGTCCACAAGTGCAGAATTTAATAATAACAGTTCTTTTTTTTCTTTTTTCACTCACATGTGTCATGTGTACATTATGGATTTACATATGTAAATTTATACTTTTTCTAAAATCTGGTATGTTTGAGGAATATTAATAACCGAGAACAGAGCAATACATAAAAACACAAACACGGCATTTCATCTTGTGGAAGCTTGATAAAATAAGCTCCAAATGTTACAGCACTCTAAAGCAGCTACGACAAAGTTATACAATAGATGAAGATAGAATTTAATTCCTTGAATTTTTAGCACAAACACGGGCTGGTCCAGTGTGCCTAAATAGTGAACCACTTCAAATTAACCGTGGGTTTTCCAAAGCAGTGTCCCTCTTCAGCGGCCTCCCCACCTTCACGGTGCTCGGGTCACATTCCAGCATCTCTCTGATCCAATTGTCATCCAGCGCTCCCTCTATGAACTCTTCCAGACTGATGATTGCTGCAAGGACGGGCACCGATTAGACAAACACCACCGGACTGACTGTTAATAATATGTCTGTGAGGGTTGATACTAGTGAATGGAAAGTTTTGGGGCTAAATTTGGGGAACCACCGTCAGTAAAATATGCCTCTGTATATGGTTGTCTTTAATTATATCAAAATGGAAAAGAGCAAATCATATCTTTTAGATTAACATTTTTGCCTCTTACTTATTTTGTGGGTTGAGCAACCCATTTGCATTTTGTTATTTTTAATCAGCATCAAACATGCTACAGTTTTGTCTTCAATTAGATGCATTATTAGGCTTCAAGGATGTTTTTATCGTTTAAAGTTGTTACTAAAGATACTTTTAAAAACAAACCACATTTTAGTGGTGGATTTATTTATTTATTTTTAATTGGATTGTTTGCCTTTTCTATAGAAACATATATAATCAACTTTGATACACATAGAAATAACATTGCAGTATGATTACACGCAAAAAGGAGGGAAAAGTCGCCACCTTTCCTCACCGTTATTGTCTTTATCTAATCTCACAAATATCCTGCTGGTGCATTCTTCAGCTGTAAGTGGGTTCGGTTTGGTTAAACCAGCAGCCACGTTCATCTTATAAACAGCCTGTCCGAACAAAGAAACGCACATCAGTCGAACTGCAACATCTGGCACATCTTCTGTTTTATATACCACGACACAGAGCCTGCACACCTGCATGATCTCCAGCATTTCCTCCTTTGTGATGGCTCCGTCTCGGTCTTTGTCATAGAGCTTGAATGACCAGCGTAGTTTCTCAACAGCTGAACCTTCAATAAGCATGCTGATGGCTATGACATACTCTCTGAAGTCAACCACCCCATCCTGAAAGAAAAAAAAAAGCACCACGCAGTTAATGTTTTGTTTCAGTTTTGTGATGCATGACTATGAAAGCATGTCCTTTCCTTTAGTTGTCTTCAATATGCCTGGAGAACTATTTCTGAAGGACATTCAAAGATTTTTGGATGTTTGCTGCCTTTTGTTCAGTTCTGTCAAGATGATCTCACAGATATGCCTTTAATTCACTGGCAGTGTGTTTGGGATCACCATCATGCTGAGAAACGAAGCTGTTGCTAATTAGTTTCTTTCCAGATGGTATTGTATGATGGATCAAAATGTGATTGTACTTTTTGCACTCTTAATTTAATCAATTTTGACAAGATCCCCACCACCACTGGCCGCCCCCTACAGAGCCTCCATTGCGTTTTAGAAAATGGCTCTACACACTCACTGTTGTACCCATCCCCTGACATGACCCCTACATTCTGACAATCATTTAAACATTTCACATTTGAATTCATCTCGCCACCAGACCTGTTTTAGCTGATTTTCAGTCCAGATCTTGTGTAATTTTCATTCCTCAGCCTTTTCTTCCTGTTTCCATTCTATATGAATGGTTTCTTCACAGACACCCTTCCATGAGACCATTTCTCTTTAACCTCCAAAGACCTGAACTCTTCCACGGCATGCGCTTTTAGTTTCTCTTTGATATTTGGGCTGATTGGGACCTGATGAATGTAAAAACAAAGAATTACCAGATTTTTATTTATTTATTTTTTTACCAAATTTTTGTTTCTAAGAAAAATGAGAGCCACATATGAGGATATTTGTTTCGATAGAACAGTAGCAGTATAATGTCCTCGTAAGTGGATATCAGGCGCTTGTAGAGCAAAATTGAGTATTTATGTCTAAATAACCCAAAATGTGATGTCCACATTTGTGGACACCAGGTCCTAGGAGGTTAAGCTTCAGCATGATAATCTGATAGATGGATCAACTCAAGGCCCAGATGCATCTCTGAGCAACACTACCACAAATTTATGCCTGTCAAAATATCTAATTTTTTTTTTCATAGATTAAATGACAATAAACGCTTTGAATCTTGAATCTCTTTGAATCCAAAGATATTGGAACAAATTATGTACTCTTGAGACTGGCTCCCAGGCTTCCTACAGATACAATTTTAAATGGGCAATTCGTTAAACTTATGTGAAGACAACACTGGTTCATCCCTTGAATTAGGTGCCCTTTTATTGCCTGAATGATTCAGTGTTAAGTGAAAAAAATAATTCCTCTAAAATATTTCAGGCACAAAGAGTGAAAAAAAAAGTGTGTTTTTCTATGAATACTTTTTTGGAAGACCTGGATAATTATTACTCAGGTTTACTTTAACCTCCTAGGACCTGGCGTCCACATATGTGGACATCACATTTTGGGTTGTTTTAGACCAGAATACTACATTTTGCTCTAAAAGGGCCTGATATACACTTACATTATACTGCCACTTTTCTATTGAAATTTAAAGCCAATGTCCTCATACGTGGATCTCATTTTTCTTAGAAACAAAAATTAGGTTAAAAAAATAAATAAATAAATCACATAATTCACTATTTTTACATTCATCAGGTCCCAATCAGCCCAAATAGCAAAGAGAAATTAAAAATGCATGCCATGAAAGAGTTAAGGTCTTAGGAGGTTAAAACTTTGCAATTCTGGATTTCATGGAGGCAAAAATATAAAGAAGTGAGTGGTGACTCAATACTTTTTCAAGACTCCTGTACTGTATAGACCTACTCTATAGAGTCATGCTTACCCCATTGCTGTCAAGCGTGCGGAAAATCTGTTCTGCATACTCTGCTGACTCACTGCCCACAGTTCCATCACAGAAATGCCTTTGAAACTCGTGAAGAGCGATTAGCCCACTTGGACACTCGATAACAAACTTTCTGCCACAGATAAAAACAACAGTTTGTGTTTTAATACACCAAAGGAGTTGGAAAACAAGGGTAGTTTGAGAGAGGGGTCTGATTTGAGAGAAAACGTGTCTTAAATTGAGAATCAATGGAATTAAGGTCAACCCATCCCCAACCTGTGTGGATTACATGTGTTTGAAAGCTTATTTACAGAGTGCGGCACAAGTGCCAAGATAATTAGGCCAAATGACATCATGGCAGAGTGAAGCTGATCAGTCCACAGGAGATAATACTTTACTTTGTTGCTGATGCTGTTAGTTTTGCAGGTTTGCCTGCAAAAACAACAAATTCTAATCTGGCTAAATACACAGGCAATTCCTACAATGCTAAAATCAATAAGAGTAAAAATAAATGTATTGATCCCAAATTCAAGTACACTCTCGCGCTGATGGATGCTTATTTTAAATATGCTCAAACATTATTTAACAATGAAATTAGCATATGTGCAAGTAATTACAATGAGCGCCAGATTGCTCTAAAAACTACATTTCAGATTTTTGTAATACTCTTGTCTCTGGATGATGTCAGTGAGAGCAGATTTCCTAATGTGGTCAAAAGCTCCCATTCACCTGCTGTTTATACCTGTTGTTTGGAGGGGCAGCCAATCAAAGCAAAGTTGGCTCAGGAGGCAAAACTGCTTGTTTCAGTCAGAGAATGAATTGAAGTCCAGGATAATAGATGTGCAAGGATTGTTTTGAACAAAAAAATCTCTTTAAGTTGTTCTATAAATTTCATTCATTTTCACCCGTGTTGAGCAGCTGGATAAAACATGGACAGGTCGCCCAGTCTAACTCAGGGCAACGCAGAGGCAATCACTCAGCTTATATTTACGCCCATGGTCAATCTGGTTTCAGGACTTCACCTAACAAGGACATCTTGGGACTGTGAGAGAAAGCTGGATTACCTAAAAAGAACCCACGCAGGAACAGGGAAACCATGCAACCTCCACACAGAAAGGCTCCACCCAGCTAGCAGGTTCAAACAAAGAACCAACTTGCTTTGAGTCTTCAGTACTAACCACTGCACCACCATGCCATGTCTGTTCCGTTCTGGGCATGAACGTAATAATCAATTTAAGGCTAAAAAAAATCTGCATCTGTTTTCAACTTCCTGTAAAAATTTAAGACAAATTCAAAAGCTTACCTGAACCATTCATACAGCTCTGTAACATAGGACTTGCTTCTTCCACAAGTCTGGACAGCGGCTTGGCCCATACTGTAAAGACAAAGCAGCTCCGCACTCACCACTGACTTTACTTTGCAGAAATCCCAGCTTACGCTATGCTTTCTTAGTTGCTCCAGGACTGCCTTATCACATCTGACAAATTACTCTGAGCTAATCTCCTCACATGAGGGGAGGTGGGGGGACAAAGAGAACAATGTAATTACTCAAGACAGTGCACATCACCAAGGGCCATGCAACTGCAGACTGAAGGGTGTTTCTATCAGAGCCAAGAAATCATTTAAAAATAAATAATCAACCAAAGTTTCAGCTGAAGTTTCAGTAAACTAATATTTATTCACAACCTGGGAAGACGGCCCAGACATGTTGATAATAGCAGCAATAATCCATTAGACAACATCGTCTGGAGCCCGAATATCGAACATGACTAAACTTGTGGCAGAAACCAGTATGGACAGCGGCAGTAGCAAACTGGCAAATAGCCTGGAAAATATAACCCCAAAAGTTCAGGTCCTGCCTCTGGTGGAGCAACTGGCGCTCAAGTCTTGGCTTTCCATTTCAAATAATGCAATTGTTTTTAAAAATTAAATCAGTAAAACCAAAGCAACATGCAGCTACACACAGACACGGACATGAAATAAAACATTCCCTACCTTACAAAAACTATTTTATTCTGAACAGACAGAAGCAAAACATACACCTCTTTAAAAAGGTTCATCACTAATAAACCACATAAGCTGATGCGAGCCGATTCCTTAGTTTTCTGGGAAAGTGGCGTTCACAAGAATGCAATGACATCCACAATACACAGGATGAAAAAAAATACTGACTTTTTGCCTTTCAAAAGGACCAGTCTACATCTATGGCACAGCTTCATAGCTCTACATGTTCGGTTACAAAGAGAGCACTGATGCAACTACGTGCAGCTCCAGTTTCATCTCTGATGTGCACAGCATGCCACGTTTCATCAAGCTTATTCAGTGATACGTTTCAGCCCTCCTTTTAAAGTCTGCAGAGGCGCCACGTCGGAGACCGTTTCCAAAAAGCAGTAGAGGTTCATTTTGTGTCCAAAGGCACTTCAGACCGGACACAAGTAAGGAGTCCTCTTGAGAGTTCAGCTGCTCCATCAACTGGCTCCTTAAAAATTCAAGCATTAGATATAACAGACAATTTTCTGCATGATCCACAACAAGCTTTTCCATCCTCGAAATACGAGTTCTTGTTGAAAAATCTTGACGTGGCCTTCAAGAAATGAGGGGGAAAAAAAGTATTCCCAAGAAGCAAACAGGAACTTTTTTTTAAGACTGGACCGTTTCATTATAACGATTATGTGAAGATAACACATAGACGTGCAGACCCCGAAAGCTCAGTGGACAACACTGGTATATGTGGACAACTGGTATATCTCTCTCACACACACACACACACACACACACACACACACACACACACACACACACACACACACACACGGTATAAAAATCCATGTGCCACAAACCAAATGATTTTGCTGGATTTCAGTAGTTCATGTTTTAATTTAAAAAAATCTCCTTAAAGTTAAAGATTTCAGTTAAAAGAATGTGTAATCACTAAATGTTTAGACATAGAGGATTTATTTTTAAGTAACTTATAACAGGGGATGTATATACTCAAGTTGTTAAATTTCTTATAAAAACAAAGAACAAAAAAAAAACAAAAACAAAAAAACAGCCAAATGCAATAACTTTACTTTAATGGACCTATAAAGTAAATTTCTACATTATCTGGTCTCACCAGGATCTCAAGCCGACACCCTTTAATTTAGCATACGACAACACTTTGGTAACTCCATAACTAAGAGCCACTCATGGCCACGCTCAGCAGTGGATCACTAACAAATAGATCATCAAATCATGGCTATCAGAGGTTTCATTACTTTAGTAAAAAGCTAGAATGTGCAACTGAAAGCATGGCCAATCCTAAACTCTACATGAGGTAAATGGCAATGGGATCCATACTGCTCCGTGGACCATTCAAGTTCTCACAAATGTCACACCACAGCTCTGCAAATGTTCTACACTCAGGAGTCATGCACGTGGCTATTACACAAGAGGAAATAAAGGGGAGGGGGGAAAAAAAGTTTGGAATGACACTTCTGCATAGCACAATCCCTTAACAAACATATCCATTTCAACCCTGTGTGCCACATAACAAGCACATAAACATGTTCTCAGACTGTCAGTGCATAAAAAGAAGAAACGATAGAAGGTATGGCTTACCTGCACGACTATAGAGACAACAATAAGAACAAAGATTCAGAGGTGAACAAGTACTGATACTACTTGTACAGTATGCAGGGAAGTGTGTAAAATCTTAAAAGTTGATAACTCCCTGACTCGCATCAGTCTCAAACACGTACTGAGAAGATGTGAAATGGGTTCGCTCTTCAGCCATCACTACCAACCCTTAATATCAGCACTTCTAAAGTGCCGTTCTGATTTGCATGAAGTTGTACTGTAGTGCTCATAAATGACCAGCCATCAAAACTGGCAGCTCATCAACTAAAATTTTTTAAAGGTGGAACTAGTAAATTCTGAGGCTTTTTATGCAACCTATCCCTTTAAGACACATGTGGCCTGAAGACATGGTGTTTGATATCATATCGACCCCACATATAAACAGCGACATATGTTAGCATACAAGAGAAGAGGTTACTACACCGTTTGTGAGAAAAATGTTCAGATACTGACAAGAGAAAATCTCAGAGCGCCACGTCTTTAGGTGACTCTCAAAGAGAGTAGAGGTTATGGAAGTGTGGTCTGCCGCGGTAAGCTTTAAACCCACGGTTTTGGATCCTGAGGGAAGGGTTGCAAAGCTTGGCCAGTTTTTTAGGGTGTCCTCTTGCATTTTAGTCAAGCATACAGTACCTAATGAAATTACAACTTTAAAAATAAAAGAAAAAAGAAATCAATTCAGTGCAATTGTTTTTTGCGTCACCACTCCCAACCTTTGTTTAAATGTAGGTGGAGAGAAATAGAAGCAAGGATCCAGAGCCATCATGATGTACATCATATCACTCTTCTGTGCGTTCACGGCTTCTTCAACCTTTCTGAGGCTGACGGCAGATTTAAGAAAGCAGGGAGGAGAGGAACAGGGTTTCAAGGTGAGTGGGCGGGCAGCTGCAACGTTTAAGAGGCACATCCTCTTTCTGAAGAGGGAAAGCAGGTGTCCCTTAACGTCGCCGATTCTGCTCCTGTTTGAGCAGCCACCCAAAAACTAGACAGCTTATGTGGAGAAGAGTAACTAATATATTAAATTTTAACAAAACAAAAAAAAAAAAAAAAACAGAATGCTGCTCCTTTGAGTAAGCTTCAAGCAGTTTCTGCCATCATCAAAATGAGGATCCGGGTGTTTTCCAGCGTGCCGTTTCACACTGTAATGCAGATTCTATAAGGACCAGTGCATCTCTTCAAAGTCCACAGCTTCTCCCAAGTTTGTGTCCGTCTCCAAAAGGCTCCAGATCACTGCCATAGCTGCTTCATCACTGCTGAGGCTATTCAGGCCTGGTCCAACCACGCTCTCCAAATCCAACTGGGAATTTTCTCCTGGGGTAAGGTGGAGTGAAAACAAAAAGGAAAAGTTACCAGGTTGCAATAGGGAAGAAATAAATACAGCAAGTGACTCAGTTTATTATAACAAAGTTTATAGACACAATGAGTGGAAGTACCCATAAGAGTCTCTCCTCCTGAGAATGCAGCACCTTGAGGCTCACTCTCCGAGCTGGACTTTCCTGGTATTTCCATGTCTGATGTTTCTCCATTTGGGACCTGAAGACCAAAAGGGAGCACACTATAACCCTCACATCACATCTTAGACATAGTTCAGCTTCTAAAAATGTTTTATGTGAGCCAGAATAGAATAGAATAATCCTTTAATTGTCCCACAAAGGGAAATCTGGGTGTAACGGCAGCAAGAAAGACACATATACAAACAAACAGTACACAAGACACAGAACTGAAACATACACAGTTTTTACATATTTACATCAAGGACAATGGTTACCAAAAACAGAGTACTGTACCGTTATTAAATTAAATAAAATTAAATACAGATAAGAGGCAAACCCTGGTTATAGTGTGAATCGGTTGATAAAATAGTGCAAGTTACAGCGCTGATGTAAACATCTATGTTTGTTGGGAGCAGTTTTGATTGTACAGTCTGACAGCTGCAGGGAAGAAGGACCTGTGGAAATGCTCCTTCATGCATCAAGAATGCATGAAGTTGATTGGATTGATTGGATAAACAGCCGGCATGACTCACGCTGTTGCTGATTTGATTGTGAATTTGTGGGGACTTGTCCTGTGGCAGACTGAAGGGACTGACGTTACCACTGGAAGGTGATGAGTTCGTCCTAAAGGAAACCCACACAGAACAACTTAAAACAGCAGTATCCTTCATCTACAACAACACCAAGTAACCAGAGCATAGATGCCGATGCTGGACTTGTGTGTTTTTAAAGTAATTATATCCAGTACATACCTGTTGAAATCCAGCAGCTCATTGGCAATCTGGGTCCCTATGCTTCCGGCATATATCATAGTCCCAGGTGTGCTGGAAATGCCCGGTATAATAGGAGGGGACTTTTTACAGTCTGACAGGGAAAAAATAAGACAGAGCAGAAGAGTTAAATAAGTGAAAGGGGGGGGGAAGGCCCCCTACAGCCAAATAATGTGTTGATAGAATAATTTTATAAAGACCTTCAGAAGCCTTGGGATTGCTCGACTGTTCAGATTTATTTCCTGACCGACCTGCCCGACTGGGATCATATCTGGTCACAGGATGAGCAAAGAGAAAAATTCAAACTAACACACATATATACAGACGCACTCACAGATACGTAAGCAAATGTACAAATCCACTGAACCATATACTCACGAGATGACTGTGTTAGTTGACACTATATATTCTAGTTCTTTGGTCCACGGATTTACAAAACTAAACCACTGACTTTGCAGAGTGACAAAAGAGCCGTATTTTGTTTTGAATTTGTAGCAGTTTGTCTCTATTTTTTCTTTACTCCGCAGCACTGCGGAAGAAAAACAACAAGAGGACAAGTCAGAGAAACACTAGAAAACAGAATCTTTAGATAACGCTGTAACCTAAAAGTACATCAGTGATCACAAAATACAGACATTTAACACTAGAACCGCCAACAGGGACATATTGATCCCCTTGCTTTTAAAATCATATAACTTAAACCAGTGGTGTCCAAAATCAGGCCTCAAGGGCCAGTGTCCTGCAGGTTTCAGATGTGTCCTTGATCCATCACAGCTCATTTAAAATGGCTAAATTACCTCTTCAACATGTCTTGAACTTCTCCAGAGGCCTGGTAATGAACAAATCATCTGATTCAGGTGTGTAGACCCAGGGTGAGATCTAGAACCTGCAGGGCACCGGCCCTCGAGGCCTAAAGTTGGTCAAGCCTGACTTATACTAAAACCATCAGCTCATTTCATGGCTTTTTGTAAAATGGATTTATATATAGTTACATAAAGGATTGACGCGTTCTGCATCAATGGAATGTAATACTGGGGTACAACAGGCCGGAGTGAACACATGGACAACAGAGTAAAAACTAGAGTAGAAATTCAGAGCAGAGCTGCCATGTAAAATGGGTTTCATGCTTGAGGAGATGAAGCGCTGCAGCCTGAGGTGGAGCAGTGTGGATGGTGTGCTAAACTGTCAGTTTTACTTTTACAGTAATTAATTTAATATAATATGTTTGACCCCCCACCCCTCCCCCCATAACCATGAATTGGATAAGTGGAGGATGGATGAATGGATGAATGGAGATATACTACTTAGTATTTGTTTGTTAATTAATTGTAATAATTTTGATTTAAAATCATTTGTAAATTTAAAAAACTTAAAATTTTACTGCAGTTTCTGCAGGATGGAGTTAAAAATAAAACAAACAAACAAACACCCATATTCCTGGCAGTTCTGTGTTAATTAGGTATTTATCTGACCTATATTAAACCTAAGAATGAAACCATTTGTTAAACATGGAAATGGCTTTAAACATATCCAAAATAGAGAAAAAAAAACCCCATACATAAATAAAAACTGCACCTTTTCGATGTCTGTCTGCTAAATGGGGTAAGTCATCTTGATGGAAGTATTCGTAGCACGATGTCCCGAGCAATTCTTGGGGAAGATAACCTAGAATGGTCGTCGCTCTGTCAAAGAAAATTGAAATATAATTAAGAGAGATCCAAATACATCCTATTACATCAACTAAGATTTCCTTTAAAATGGAAAAATTCATACAACATAAACATTTCAGACAGAGCAAGAACAGAAACATTTTTAATCTGTTAACTGAATGTTTTACCTACCACTTTTCTTATGTTGCTATAGATACACAAGCTAGTTGTTGATGAGCACTATTATTTATGACATGAACTACAAATGAGGAAAGAAAAAA